AGATGAGAGAGAGGTGTGTTAGGAGGAGAAAGACAACAAGAACACAGTTGAGGGAGTGAAATCCAGATTGGAGGCCCCAAAACCAACTCAGGCAACTGAGCAACAGAAAAGACATTTAATGAAATGAAAAAAGTAATTAGCAATTAAACTTTCAAAACGTAGTAATCTGGATTCCTCCTGAGCAGAAAGCAAAGTTTTAAGTCCAAGTTGAGTCAACGATGTATGAAGGCTATAGAAGCGTTGCGCTTCCCTTTCCCTTCGCTTTTCGCTCTCCCAGGATTAATTACCGGGTGTCAGTCACAGCCGACAGCTCTCCCACGCTCTCATGCTCCCAGCGGTGCATTCCGAGAGAGCGTCAGGTACTGTGTGTGTGTGTGTGTGTGTGTGTGTGTGTGTGTGTGTGTGTGTGTGCGTGCATGTGTGTGTGTGTGTGTGTGTGTGTGTGTGTGTGTGTCCAATGCAGAGAGGAATCCTGACACGGTGGAATGTGTTGAAGACCTTATAAAGTTATACAACGTTTTTTCCATGTTCGTTGTCACGGCAAACATAACAGCCTCTGTGATGGGATTATGTACACATTTGCCGACACTCACAAATCTCACCATCCTATTTTCTGCTTGTGCACCATGACACATCCCTGAATACATACATCTTTAGTTTTTTAAGTAATCGTTAGTAGGCTTCTGACAAGCGGGGTTAGACAGAACATCTTTCTAGTGTGTTGGATGTGAGAGAGTAACACAACACTGTCACATAGATGTTGTTTAGTGGGAACCTTCACTTAGAAATACCGACTTGTTCTTATTGTCTCAGAAACAAACAGGGGAAATGAGGTGAAGGTGGAAAGAGGAGACCATGGTGAAATGAGCAGAAACGGGGACACTTCGTCATTTTCGTCTTTAATGGGAATTTATTAATAGATTTCTATTGAAGCCTCCAGTTGTTAAAAGGAAACTGAATAATATGAAACAGCCTCCATTCTTCCACCTCAAAGCCTGTGAACTGTGCAGTAAAGCTAACATCTCACTGCTGCAACTAGGAGATGGAAAACAGCAGGAAGGATGCTAACTCGACTTGGTTCACGTCACTGCAAGGGAACAGGTTTTATATCGGGGGGATGAGCCACAGCTGCCCTGGGGTGCACTGAAACACAAGCCACCGCTTCCTCAGAACACCACCAGCAGGTAATGAGGGTGAAGTGTCTTGCCCAAGGACACAAAGACTGACAGACTGAGCCTGGGTTCAAACCGGCATCCCACCTGCTACAGGGCAACCCCTTAGCCTCTGTCGCCAAACCTGTCCTAGACTTGTCTCGTTTTCCCACTCGTATTTCTGACTCAAAAACCAAACAGAGCCAGCGTAGAGTGGTTGGGTTTTGTATGGGAGCAACAACCTCACAACCATTTAGATTATATGGTTACGTTAATATGGTTACAGCGTGCATCACACACCACAACGCCGACTTTGTCATAAACATGGGGACTGAAGCGGCTCTGTCCTCTGTTCTAAAAGACTTGAACATCTTTAAAACCACAACAAGTAGAAGCGCTAAAAGCCTAAAAGATGTTAGCGCCGTCGCCAGACGCCATTTTTGACTACAGCTAAAAAAAACTACAGCGTCGTGCGGTATAGTCGGCATTTCCGTCTTTTTTCTGATTGTTTATTTCTGAGCTGGCTAGCCCCGCCCCTCATGTGCCTCTCTGCCTGTGAGTTACCAGAGTCTCTGTGCAGAATGAAACAGAGGACGAGTCTGGCAGGCCAGGCCTAAATCCAGCAGCACAAGAGGAAAACCGCTTGAGACTATTCTCAAAACTCCTTCTAAAATGTAATTCACCCTTTTGTTGCCCACCGTCGCAGCTTAATGAGATGCTGATTTTGGACGTGTCCTTCTGATGCTACCTTCCCTTTAATCCATCCTCCAGCAACACTTCCTATCACACTAACTCGATCTGTCCTCTTACTGGGTGAACCGTGTTTGTCTTTGTCTCTTTCTCAAGCCTTCCTCACAACGTCTCTCATTCTCCTCTTTTCTGTCAAACACTGACAGGCTAACCCAGCACAATGCACACAGCCATGTCTGGGGATTGTGGATGCAGCACGGGAGAACTTCAGCTAGCATCCAGCGAAGGCTACAACATGCCTGGGTGTCCTGACTGACAAACAGCTCACGAGTCGAGTCTCAGCTGCCTTGCTGTCATGTTGCTTTGTGCCAACAGCAAGAAAGGGCAGACCATGTCTTTGCTAGGTTGTAGAGAACAAAACACTGGGACTCCTGGGACTTAGCTTATAAAGGACACTTCATTTCATCACCTGCTGTCCTTCACATCAGGCTCAGCCACTATTTCACAAGGTGTTTTCAGATGGTCAACGATGTCTATGGTACTGAAGTTCAGTTACACACATTTAATAGATTTCAATGGCTTTTCCTGACAGTTACATTGGGGTAAATGCAGTCAACATTTCCAGAGTCCGTGGTCCCACGATGCTTTACTTGAAAACGGTCCTCTCCTTGCCTTTTTCCTGTCCTCTTCATGCTTTTCTTTGCTGTCCTTTTTGACACCACCTCCAAAAGTCTTCTCTCGGAGCGACAGGTGAACTCACGCGTGCCCGTTGCTGCTATACCACATCTGGATCAGCGTCAGGAGATGGTTCAGGAGTTTCCTAGACTTTTCAGGTTGCACTGAAGAGTTCTCTTCCTCCGAAGGTTTTGAGGATCTAACTTCATTATCATCATTACCTTGTGAAGCCTTTTTTATGTTGTCTGGAGGTGCGTTTGAGGTTTCAAGCACCTTCCTCCTAAAGCATCAAATCGAGATTTTTAATGCAATGAGCCTCGTTGACACCCGCACATTTGTTACAAAGTGAGGACTGAACGATGTCTGCACATCCATTTGGGGCAGAAAATCTGTGGGAAATATTTATTGGGACACAACAATCCTAAACTGCACTTTGCATTGTACCAACATTTCACTTTAATGTTAATTTCAAGCTTGTTGTCGTGAATTTTTACTGCTTCTTCTAACAAAAGTACCTTTTGTTGAAAACAATGCATTCCATCCTTTTCCTCAGCTCTTTATGGCTCGTTGCCATTCTGCTGCTCCAAAAATAACACTGATAATTAATTTCCGTTGTGAGATGATTCATCAGCGACCCGACCAGCTTCCATATTTCACCCTGCATCAACCCCCCAGCCCGCTTGCGTGCATTTCATTAGTTAAAGGGATCATGAGAGAGACAGAGGAAGCAGAAGCACGGGAGGATAGAGGGGGGCAGAGTTAAATCAATTACTGCTGTTTGATAGCATTGCAAGACACACATTATTCACATCAGAGCTAACATGTAAATTAGGAGTGATGAACTGAAGAGAGTGCATCACAAACCAGGAATTCTGCTTTTCCAGAAAACGCATCAGCAGAATTCCGATCAGAACAAAGCCACTCAACAGACATACAGTCGTGTTAGGCATAGTCACTTTTAGCAATGATGGAGTTTCATCATTTGTTGTATATTGTTATATTAAAGCACACATTCATATCTATGTCACAATGGCCTTTATACTATTTTTGTTTCATCAGCATTCAGTCTAACTGTGTGATTTTTTAAATGCATGACTTTTTTCCGAAGCATGTATTTTTTTGCCCACAGCAGAAATAAATGAGTTTCATGTGCAGTGAGGTTATTTGACTTTGTGGGCGGGGCTAAAGGCAGTAAAGGCTGGTCCTCTGACGAGTAGAAGTTAGAACTGTTCTAATAGTGTGGAGCAAAAACAGCTGAACTTTCTGCACAAAATGGTCACTTTTCAAGTCAACAGGCTCAAGTCCAAGTGGACTGACAAGTCCTTCATGTTGTATCCAGCACTCCTTTATTTTCAACTGGATCTCAAAAGGGTTCTGCTGGCGTACTGGGTTCAAATAAGATCCCGCTAAGCTGGAATGTATTGGACAATAAAAGGAACTTCTAGACAACGAAGCTTCCATTAAACAGATAAGACAATTTACCACTTGAGTCTCTGCTAACTGTTTATGTCTGGGGGGAAAAAAACCTTAACAAGGAGATTAAAGACCAGTTTTCACTTATTATTTTTGAAAATGATCAGTTATGCAGGCTGAACATGAAAATAGTCTCCCACACCTATCTCCTGCATTAGCGTCTGATAGAAATAGACGGTGAAACTCTAGGAAAGTCTGACAGATTTACATCACACTGTCACAACATTCATGGACTCACCCATCGTGACTCACGGCGGGGAAGGCTGTTGTTGGTTTAGTGTCCAAGAAACAGCAGAGAACGTCTTGGCTAGAAGAAGCTAACTGTTAGCATTAGAAACTCCACCACATAGCAGAACTCTTCCAGGCTTGTGTGGTGGAGATAAAAAAAATCAATGTTGCAAAACAAACTGAGTCAGTGGTAGAGTCGTGTTGCTGTTAGCCAATCAGATCAAGGCAAGTCACCTGACTTGATGGTCAGAGGGACCGATGGTGTAAAATACAGCCTTGCCTCTGTCAGACCTCCTCCGGGGCGGCTGTGGCTACATAGTAGCTAACCATCACTGGCAGCATGTGTCAGTAAGTAAGTAAGTACATTTTAGTTATACAGCGCTTATCACAGACACGCAAAGTGCTTCACATAGATCAAAACAAAATCAAATGTAATATCCTAATGATCTCAAAACAGAATTTGATTAACATCAGAAAAAATGAAGTCATAAAATTATAAAATTTCATAAACAGATGAAGGATTACTAGTTTGAGTTAAAAATAGGAAAATAAAAGATTTAGGTAAAGCAGCTTTACGTAAAAGGGTCTTCATGTGAATGTGTGAATGATGGAAAGTGCTAAATAAACCTAATCTATCAAATATTTGCATTATTATTAAATCTGCCCGTCTCCTTCATTGTTCAGTCACAAGAGAACAGAACAGTTCTTACAGAAACATTTGTGTTTATTTGACTCGCTTCGATAACGCCGGTTATTAACTGCCTCTTGTCCTCCTCTCACCAGGCCCTCCTTCTGCCCCTCTTCACCTCATCTCTAATGTGAACGAGACTTCTGTAAACCTGGAGTGGAGCCCTCCTCAGAGCTCGGGGGGGCGTCAGGACTTGACGTATAATGTTGTGTGTAAACGCTGCGGACCCGATGGTCGCCGATGCCAACCCTGTGGAAACGGCATTCACTTCAGCCCCCAGCAGCTGAGCCTGAAGGGAACCAGGGTGTCCATCAACGAGCTGCAGGCCCACACCAACTACACCTTTGAGGTGTGGGCAGTGAACGGTGTTTCAACCCAGAGGCCGGGGCCAGAGCAGGCTGTGTCTGTCACCGTCACCACCAACCAGGCGGGTAAGAGCAGCCGAGAGCAACCAGGCTGAGTGTGGTTTTAACTAAAGTGATAACGCAATTAGCACAATCCCTTAAAAGTAGGATATATACTCTTCATAACAAGCCAATGCTGTTTAAGGAGTGGTTTCACAAGAGATTTATAGCTTTTTCTGATTGAACACTGATTAGGTTCTGAATAACTGATTTGCCAAATCATCAGTTTATGAAAGGCACACCTTTTATACTTTTGAACCATTCAAGTAACATAATTGCTCATTTCCACTAAATGTTAACCAAACAACATTAGTTTCACTGGAATCTAGGTAATGAAATGGTACAAAGACCCCACCGTACCTCGTTTTTGGGCTTCAGGAACCTTTCAAAAAGCAAACAAATGCAAAATGCTCAAAACGTTTATTTTAACAAACTTCATCGTTCACAAATCCTCCACACGTTGCCTCCCCTTCCCTTTACTTTCTGACTCATAAACGCTTAATTTAGACATGTTCCAGATACAATGTTGAGTATTTGAGTAGAAAAGGGACAGTTTTAGTGATGTATCAGTAGCGATGGGTACCGAATTCAGTACTTTTTAAGGTACCGACCAAATTCCATAGTACCGACTGAGCACCGATTCACGTCATTTGAAACGGTGCCTCGTTTCGGTACCCGTCCTTCATTACGAGAACTTGCCAAGACAGCTGCGCATGCGCAAGAGCGTTATGTCGTCGGTCGCTGCGAGCGAGTTGTAAACAGAGCAGCATGGTAGAAAGAACGCACGCTAACGCTTGGGTCCACGTCACTAAATGTGATGGGTAACTGGGTGATGATGAAACCAGCGACAACGATCTAAGTGAGACATCCTCATCTTAATCTGCTCCGGTAGGTAAATAAAATGTTTAAGATAACGTTAGCTTGATTTGTTAGCTTCCGTTCCTCTAATGGTGCGTTCGTTTTCTCCTCGGAACTCCGAAATTCCGACTAGAAGAACATGGACGCGCTCTAAAGTTTGGCTTCACTTTACTAAATGCGACGGGTGAAGATGAAACCAGCGACCACAATCTAAGTGTGCGGCATCGTCGTTTTAATCTGCTCCAGCAGCTAAATAAACTGTTTAAGATAAGGTTAGCTTGATAAATTAGCTTCCATTGCCACCATTGTTATCAGCTAATGGTGCGTTTGCTTTCTCCTTGGAAATTCTAACTTTCCAGTAGGAAAAATCAAATGAAAAAGGACGGCAAAAGGAATGACGATACACAGTAAATGTAGTTCACAGTAAAGATGTTTGATTCAGTTCAATTATCAGCTTATAAAACTACAAGGACAATGTTAAAATACAAACAGTTGTATGTTATTTATCGTGATATTCATCAGATATTGTTATATATTGAGAAAAAAATATATTTAATTATAAAAGAGAATTAAAATAATAAATACTCAAAAGTATCTAAAATTGGTACCGTTAAGTACCGGTATCGATTCCTAGGTACCGGGAATTAGTACCGGATCGATTCAAATGTCAAAGGTACCCATCCCTATGTATCAGCATTACTGATGGTCACACATTTGACCGTGACTCGTGTCACCCTGTACACAGGCTCTTTGACTCGCTCCCATCGGGCAGAAGGCTCTGGTCCATTCGGACCAGAACCACAAATACAGTCTCTTCTCGTCTGCAGTTGGACTCATGAATGACAATCCTAGGGTTGCCCACTCCAGTCGCTTGGTGTCAGTCACATGACCCTGTGTTGTGTTTGTACATGAGCTGTTCCGATCGATAAAAGTACCGCAGCAGTTCCCTAATGTTGTTACTTTTTGCATATAAGACAATAAAACCCTTCTGATGCTAATCGGATTTAACTCTTCATGTTCAGGTTCCAGTTTTCTGGCTTGTCTTTGAGTTAGCACCCATTAATTTAAAGGTCTTACTTTCTTTGCCTTTGAGAGCTAAGGTGCACACACGTATGTACCACTCTGGTGACACACTGTGGTGAAAGATGATTCATTATAGTACAAGTTGATGGAAATGAATTGCTTTAATATTTCATGGGAATCTTGCATAATTAAAGATGAGGAGCCTAGACTGAAGATAGCAGTTATATTTAGCTGCCATGCTAATGAACTAGAGTTACTCTGACTGAGCTAAATTGTGTGTATTTGTGCAAAAGTGTGATAGCTTGTGAGCTGAAGAGAAGCCCTCCGGCCTGAGGATGTATTCAGAGCCTCCTGTTGTTTTGTCATTTAGCCATTTTGTAACCTGTTGTGGTGTAAATGGCTTTTACGACCCCTGGTTGTCTCTGCCTTATTTCGTCTGATTACAGCCCATCCTTACCTCGACCTGTTTTACTGCTCTGCTCCTGGGTGGCAAGCTTTATGTCTTTTTGTGTCACTTTTATCACCGATTTCCATCCATGCAATGGGGTCTGGGAGCTTTAAGGACACTGTAGCTTGATTTATCAGTCAGGGTTGAAAACACAGAGATGAATGGGTGTGCAGCCTGTGGGAGAGCTGCAGGTGGAACGAGCCCCGGAGTCTGGGCGTGTCAGTTCGGTCACACAGTTGCACAACCAATCACAAAATTTCCAAATGAACTCTTTTAGACATGGTCTCATAGAGACACACACACACGGTGTCCCCCTGAGGATGCTCAAGGCCAATGTCCTGCTGGATACAGATGATGTTGCCTTTGGCCCAGCATTGATGCATGTTTCACCATTATTCCCTTGGATTAGTGATTTGAAGCTATATGTGTGTGTGTGTGTGTGTGTGTGTGTGTGTGTGTGTGTGTGTGTGTGTGTGTGTGTGTGTGTGCATGCGTGCGTGTGCGTGCGTGCGTGCGTGTGTGTGTGTGTGTGTGTGTGTGAAAGCAAAGCTCCACACTGATTGGATTTCTTCATCCTAATGCCTGTAAGGGGTTTTGAAAGCTCTGGTTTCAGCCGCTGATAATCCAGCCAGTCATCTGCGGCCGTCCCTTTTTCAGGATCACCTCCCCTCACCCAGACACCGTGGATTACACATTTATTAGGTTATTTAAGATTTCTGACTGCCGTAGAAAAGACGCCTGCGCCGCCACCCTCCCGTAAAAGTTCAAACTTTGGTTAGAGAGGAGGAAGAGTGGGAGGCGTAATAGAAACGGTGAGGAAGGGGCGGCTGTTTAAAACAATCCTGTCAGCTCAATATGAAGATGTGAATGATGACGAGTCCATCTGTGACCTAGCAGATTTGTGCACAAGGAGGTCAGATTCCGTGTGTCGCCACAAAGTGCTGTAAATCAGTCTCGGTGTAACCCTTTCACCCCGACGGCTTGGAGAGAAGGATGGGGGTGGTGGGGTGGGGTCCATGCTTTGAAGTGACCCCTGGCTGTAAATGAATGTTTCCTCTCCTCTTTATGGGATCAAGCACTTTATGAGTGTGAGAAAAAGGGAAAGAAAGACTTAGAGACAGGCTTGTTTATGTCCTGATACAGAAGACTTGGCAGGCAAAGGTGACACTAGAAGTGAATTAGTGCAGGAGGGGATTTGTGGGTGTGGGCATGGATGTGATTTTCCCTTTTCCCTGACAGAGTTCTGACACCGGACAGAGGCACATGTGGAAATGTGTTTTGGGAGGTGGAAGCAAACTGAATTCATGCAGGGGTGGAGCACACAGGGAGAGAACCTTGTAAGCCGGAGCTTTTTTTCCACATTAAAATAACAGCTCCCTCCTCGACTGTTTTTCCGTCACGGCAGCAAAACGCAGTGACTCAAGTTTGGCGACCGGGTTCCAATCTGGCGGCCATATGTGCACCACTGCCTGTTTCTTTTTTTGTTGGGCTGTAATCAACCACATGTTTGTGCAAATGCTTGAGTTTGACTACAGATACAACACAAACACTTACAGTGAATACATTTATGACTAACCCCGCCCCCAAGTACCTGCCTAGTCTCCTGGATCTCTTTAGGACGGCGTTTTTTCAAATCAAACCAAAAATCTTTGCCAGGTTGATGTCATAATGCACATGTTTGCTGCCTGTGCTACATTTAAAATTCTGGATTTATATTTTCGGGTTTATTTAAAGAACTGATGCATGTTACGTGTGTCTCTGTGTGGATGTGTGTGTTCTGGGGTCTAGTGGAAGTGCAGAGGGGTGTGAACAACAGTTGAATATCCATTGCCTCTAACAAGTTATTAAGCTGCCTGGCTTAGTTTGATAGCTTTGCCCCACATATGTGAATTCATCACATTCATCAGTCTCAAGTGACCTCCTTAGTTACTGTCGCTAAATCGGACAAGCTGTCACAGCTAACTGCATGTTTTTGATGAGGTTGGTCAGTAATGAAACTATTCCTCCGGAGGCTCTTGACAACGTTTGGACGTAACAACAGTTAAAGTAACAACAGAAAGTGTCCTGCTCCTCTCCCCTACTGGTTGAAAGTGGAATTACAACCCTGCTGCCAACATTAGCAACAAGCTAATGCTAACCTGAGCCAACTAATGCTAAAATAAACCACAAGTTAAAAAGATCCACACTGTTGGACAAACAATATAATTACTTACAAGTCCAGTAGCAACAAAGCCAGGTCACAATCATTCTGTGATTTTGTAGCCTCCTTTAGCTAGTGTAGGCCACACTCATGTTCACTCTGGTTTAAACTCTTTGCTTCACCTCCAAAGACATCACTCTCTTATGGCACTTTCGTATCTGGGCCGCCCTGGTCCCACCCAGGTAGTATTTTTGGGGTTCACATCTTGGTAGCCTGTTTTTTTCTTCGCTTTTTTTCAGACTTCCTCCCTCGGCGGTCTCCTTCGAGCTGAGGTGACCCAACACACCCACTGCTGACTGAATAGCTCAAATCCACGCCTACCATTAGGGGGAGCGTCCAGTTGATGGGTAGAATCAGTTAGGGGGGGCTTCCCACGTTGATTATCATTCTGAATACAGTGGAGTAAAGAGAGAGACAGAGCGGCCGAGGCTTGAGCTGCGCAGAGCGAGGACAGAAACAGCAGAACAGGAAGCAATATCAGAGTCTCCAAAAGCAACT